CGTTGCCTTGGCAGTCTCAGGTGACACAGGGTCCTGTTCTCTTCCTCTGACCCACACTGATCAATAATCAATAACTAACTGTCTCTCCGTCTGTCTGTCTCGTCTCTCCTGCAGGAGCAGCAGAAGCAGGTGGAGGACCCCAGCAGAGAGGTGAAGAAGGTCAGTGATGATACACACACACACACACACACTAAAACAAGATCTCCTTGGAGGAAAAAAACATGTTAAAAAAAGCACTTTTCAACCTCTTATTGCATATTACCTTAGTTTCGTGTTTGAAAAACTCATGACTGCAGCAACTACAGGTTACAATAATATGTGTTCAGGCACTAAAGAAATAGCTTCTTGAAATCTGTGTAATAGAAGACAGGAGACCTTTGCCAGCATGGAGATCACTCTTAAACCATCCTTAATAAAAGTATATTAAATCAATGTATTCAATTAAATACGATGAGACACTCGGTGTCTGTTAGTGGAGACCACAGTTAAAAGGATACAGCAGCACACTTAACCACAAGATGTCATCATCACAATTATTCATTCCCGTCTTATTCTTCCAGTGATAAATATTTAACTTTCCCGCCTTTTTTTTGTAACTCTCTTCAGGTGCGTAAGGCTCGTAACCGCCGTCAGGAGTGGAACGTCCTGGCCTACGACAAAGAGTTCAGACCAGACGCCCGCCTCACCCCCTCCCCCTACCACGGCATGTCCTCAGAGGGGTCCCTGTCCCCTGATAGCAGGTACACACACACACTGAAACAGACACACACAAACAGAAGATTGTGGACTGGGAATACATAAACACTCATGGGACAGACATATTATTGGTTTAACGCTGACGTTTTCTGCATTGGAATTGTAACCAATCTTCATTCATTTAGTTTTTTCTCAGAATTAAAACTCTATAAATCGTCTGCAGGTATTTGTATAAAATACTTCTCATAATGACACATATTAAAGGTAGGGTAGGTAATTCACTTCAGAAACACTTTTTGTTATATTCCATTGAATGCTCTTAACATCCCGATAGCAATGAATACATGACGTGCTTTGACAATAAATACATTAAAAAAATATCATCTGTGGAAGCTGTGGCGCTGTAAAAAGCACGACCAATCATCTGAGCCGGCCCTCATTGGTCATGTGC